CATGTTAAAACCTACTAGAAGCATCACAACATTCTGAGACATATCAACATGTTTAAATATGTTCAATCAAATTTCACAACATATTAATGTTAGTAACATTTTAAAAGGTTAGCAATATGGTACAAATTCATGCTCAAAAAAAATCATGCTAGCTATGTGTGCCAACCAGAGCTAGAAACCTGCTTATTCACTTTAACATTGTTAAAATATGCTAACTACATACTTAGCATTTTGACGTCAAAACATGTTAGCCATGTGCTAAAACATGTTAGAAATGTACAATCAATCAACATTTTCAGTTATCCTAGCTATGCGTTAAAATGTTAGAAACATGCTAAAAACAAGTTAATACAAATAAATTTCATGTTCAGAAATGTTAAAAATAATAAATAAGCATGTTTTTATAAATATTCTGAAAAAAAGATGAGCTAACTTTTTCACACGATTAATGTAAATGTGTTAGCATTGAGGCACAAACTATCATTCAAGGGCTCTATATGTAACCTGAATATGATGGAGTGGATTTTGGCAGATTTATTTGATTTATTTTCCTTGTCAGTCATGTGACAAAACATCTTAGAAATGTACAAGCAACATGTTCAGCTTTGCTAGCAATGTGTTAAATATTAGAACCATGCTAGCAACATGTTAAATAGCATATTAAATCATAATATGTTCAGACATGTAAGAAATAATAAGCTGATTTTTTTATAAATAAACTGGGAAACAAAGAGATGAAATTCAATTATAGGGTGTACTAACTTTTTCACAAGATTAAAAACTAGCAAACAAGCTAACGCTCATGGACTATGAAATCTGAATATAATGAAGTAAACCTTTGCACATTAATATGATATATTTGTCCTCCAGTGACTGAAAGACATGTGGCTGATCAGTGTGTGTTTGGTGTTTTCAGCTCCTCATCTGTCATCTGCTGGAGTTTCCTCTTCGTATCTGTTCCTGTGTGTGTCTCTGTGTGTCTCAGTGTGTGTTTCTCTTCTTCTTCTTGTGTGCTTCTCTGTGTGTGTGTGTGTGTGTGTGTGTGTGTGTGTGTGTGTGTGTGTATGTGTGTGTGTGTGTGTGTGTGTGTGTGTGTATCAGACGACTGGAGTTCAGTCAGTCAGTCAGAGGCTCGGCTCAAGGCCCCGGGGCCCGTCTCTCTGTCTCTGGTGTGTTGGTATCGAGTCCAAAGCCTCTCCTTTAGTCAAACCAGCACCAGCAGAGAGGTAAAACATGGACTCCGCATTACTGTAGTAATAATAACAATGCATTTCACTTACAGTACCATTCATTTAGCAGATATCTGCAGCACTACACCAGGGGTGGCCAACCCTGTTCCCGGAGATCGACCTTCCCGCAGATTTCAGTTGCTACCCATATCAAACACACCTGCCTGTAATGATCACATGCTGTTCAGGTCCTAATTAATTGGTTCAGGTGTGTTTGATATGGGATGCAACTGAAATCTGCAGGAAGGCGGCTCTCCAGGAACAGGGTTGTCCACCCCTGTTCTACACTGTAACACATGTAAATGAGCAGTTTTCTGTATTTCGTGATTTATGTTTTTATTTTTCCTTGTTTATTGAGGCTTTTGAACTGCATTATAGGATCTTGATCTTTCTTCCAGCATCTTATAACCTTGATAAGTTGGAAAAAGTGACTGAAATTAACAATACTAGTAGTGTACAGTGCTTTATTGTCTGGGTTGGTGTTGTATATTACGCTATAGAAACCTTGTAATGAACTATCATTGCGTTTTCTGTTATCTTACAGACTTATTTCTCTATTTATTATTTATTATACATCATATTATCGCATTCAGCTACTGAAATGTCAATAAAAGTCACTTTGTTAAACTGTAGAGTTGAATTTTCTCCATCCAAAGTGGACAGAGCAGAGATCAACATCCCATAATGCAATTCACAACCGGAAATAAACAGAAAACACGTGTGAGTCCTAAAATATGGAGACTGGAATTAATTTTAAAGGGACAGTTCATCCAAATATTAAAATTGTATCATTTACTTGTCTTTAAATTTGAGCTTGAGTTTATTTTTTCATCTGCTGAACACAAAGGAAGATATTTTGAAGAATGTTGCAGAAAATAGCCACTGGCTGACACCATTTTTTGTTGCTCTTATGGATGTCAATGGCTGCTTTTTTCCCCCAACATTCATTCATTTTCTTTTCTGCTTAGTCCCTTTATTAATAATCTCTCCAGTAATGAGTATCTGGATTTAGCAGAGGATTTAATGACTGATCTGAGTTCAGCTGTAGATGCTCTTCTCCTCTGAACACTGACTGTACTCTGGCTTTGGTGGAGTTTGTCTTTCTCCTCTTTGTGTTTTTCTCCACTTTAATATTGCGTTGTGTCTGTGTTTATCCTGAAGCAGACGTTCATACAGGATTGATCTGGTGTTTTAGACTGAATATAGTTGTAACTGGAATTGCATGTTAATAATGCAGACAAAAATCATTTCAATTTAGTTCATGTCTAACACAATCCTGAATGCTGTATGAACGGCTCTTCTCTCTGTTCATCAATATTATCAGTGTTTAGTGTTGTTGAAATGAACATGGGGATGTTTTGTTGTGTTCAGGGCTCACAATATAATAGTCAAGTGTGTAAAATTTGATGAATCTTGTAAGATTATTTGAGATTTAAATCAAAATATATTGTAAAATGCATTGTAAATACAGTAATATTTTGTTTTGGAAGCTTTCTGCTTTAGTGGATCTGACTGCTAAAACACTGTAAATATATTTAACATATTGTATATTGTACAATATTGGATAAATTAATTATAAATTTGGAAATTTAGAATATATATAATAATAATAATAATAATAATAAAAATAATAATAATTATAATAATAATAATAATAATAATAAAAATAATAATAATAATTATTATTATTATTATTACTATTATTATTATTTTTTAAGATTTATTTTTGGCCTTTTTGCCTTTATTAGGACAGTATTGAGACAGGAAGCGAAGTGGGAGAGAGAGAGGGGGTAGGGAAATGTCCTCTAGCCGGGATTCGAACTCGCGACGCCCTGATGTGCTGTTGCACCATATGTCCGCGCGCTAACCACTAGGCTATTGCACCGACATTACTATTATTGTTAAAACACAGTAATAAGTACCTAATTATGCAGTTTACTGGTACATTTTTTGCATTTATTTATTTATTTTGCATTTATTTATTTATTTTGCATTTAAATAATGAAAAATATAGTAAAAAATGTTACAGGTTAAGTTCTTTATCGTATTTTTTGATTGAATAAATGCTGATACACACACACACACACACACACACACACACACACAAACATATATATATATATATATATATATATATATACAGTTGAGGTCAGAATTGAATTATTTTTTCTTTTTTAAATATTTCCTAAGTGATGTTTAACAGATCAACGATAGTTCACAGTATGTCTGATAATATTTTTTTCTTCTAAAGAAAGTCTTATTTTGTTCTTATATTATTTCAGCTAGAATAAAAGCAGTTTAAAAATAGTTTAAACACCACTTTAAGGTCATAATTATTAGCCCCTTTAAGCTATTTCTTTCAGATAGTTCACAGAACAAACCATTTATTTATTGTTAATAGAGATGAGTTATTAAAACTAATATGTTTAGAAATGTGTTGAAAAAATCTCTCCAGTGAACAGAAATTGGGGTAAAACTAAACAGGGGGGCGAATAATTCTGACTTTAACTGTATATATATTTGTCAATAAACTCTTGTATTTTTGGTATAGATGTGTCTAGTATAGATTATGTGTTTAAGTTGATTTTGGACCCTTGTTGTGTTGTGTTTTCTGTCTGTTTTCTCACTGTGTGTGCATGCGTGTGTGTGTGTGTGTGTGTGTTTCAGAATCAGTTGTCTGGGAATCTGCTGAGGAAGTTCAAGAACAGCAACGGCTGGCAGAAGTTATGGGTGGTTTTCACAAACTTCAGTCTGTTCTTCTACAAAACACACCAGGTGAGCAGCGCGTCTCTGAGGCCAAGTGCGTTATGTGTGTGTGTGTGTGTGTGTGTGTGTGCGTGCGTGCGTGCATTTGTTTGTTTGTTTGTTTGTTTGTTTGTTTGTTTGTTTAACTTATGTGTGTGTGTCTGTTTGCAGGATGAGTATCCTCTGGCCAGTCTCCCTCTGCTGGGTTACTCCATCACCATTCCCTCAGAGTCAGAAAACATCCACAAGGATTACGTCTTCAAGCTGCATTTCAAATCACACGTCTATTATTTCAGATCTGAGAGCGAGTACACATTTGAGAGGTACACACACACACACACATTACACTACAATCCACCACAAACTAATCCTACACCAGAGAAGCATTTATAGCAGGAGACCTGCGCTTCAGCTATATGAGGGCAAATAATTCATAATTCCTTTCTATTTTAGAGGTCGCCACAGCGGAATGAACCACCCACTTATTCAGCACATGTTTTACGCAGCGGATGCCCTTCCAGCTGCAACCCATCACTGGGAAACACTGATAAACTCTCATTCACACACACACACACACACACTCATACACTACGGCCAATTCAGTTCATCAATTCCCCTATAGCGCATGTGCTTGGATTGTGGGGGAAACCGGAGCACCTGGAGGAAACCCACACCAACACGGGGAGAACATGCAAACTCCACACAGATATGCCAACTGACCCAGCTGGGGCTTGAACCAGCAACCTTCTCGCTGTGAGGCAACATTGTAAAAACAGAAATAAATTAAAATAAATAAATAGATGTTCTTTAAGACACTTCTATACAGCTAAAAGTGACATTTAAAGGCTTAATTAGGTTAAATAGGCAGGTTATAGTAATTAGGCATGTTTTTGTATAACGATGGTTTGTTCTGTAGACTATCGAAAAAAATTTAATGGGCTTATAATATTGACCTTAAAATGGTGCCTAAAAAATGTAAAACTGCTTTTATTCTAGCCGAAATAAAACAAATAAGACTTTCTCCAGAAGAAAAAATATTATCAGACAAACTGTGAAAATTTCCCTGCTCTGTTAAACAATATTTGGGAAATATTTAAAAAAGAAAAAAAAATCAAAGGGAGGCAAAAATTCTGACTTCAACTGAATATATATATACTTATAATATATATATATATATATAATATATATATATATAATATATATATATATATATATATATATATATATATATATATATATATATATATATATATATATATATATATATATATATATAATACAACAATAAAAACTATTTATTAATTTTATATAAAGAAGTTACATTAAAAACAAGTACAGTACTCAAACAATAATGCATTTAATGTGTTTATATTATATTTAATAATAAAATATAAATGAACAAAATGTGTATTCGTTAGTTTTAAATGTTAAAAATGATTACAAATATTTTTATTTATTTTGTATTGTAAAAGGCGACACGGTGGCTCAGTGGGTAGCACAATCGCCTCACAGCAAGATGGTTGCTGATTCGAGTCCCAGCTGGGTCAGTTGGCGTTTCTGTGTGGAGTTTGCATGTTCTCCCTGCGGTCGTGTGTGTTTCCTCCAGGTGCCAAACACATGCGCTATAGGTGAACTGATGAACTAAATTGATCATAGTGTATGGGTGTTCCCAGTACTGGGATGGAGCTGGAAGGGCATCCGCTGTGTAAAATACATGCTGGAATATTTGGCGGTTCATTCCGCTGTGGTGACCCTTGATAAATAAAGGGATTAAGCCGAAAGAAAATCAATGAATAAATGCATGTATTGTGAAAAATGTCAGAAACATGCTGCAAATGTTTTATTTTGCTGTATTTTATGGTAAAAATATATTATTTTAAAATAAATAGTTTAAATAAAATTAGTGTGTTTCTATACTGTGTGTGTTTGTGTCAGATGGATGGAGGTGATCCGCAGCGCCACCTGCTCCTCCAGTGTCCTTCGCTCCTCCAGCCGGAAAGATCCGCTGGTGTACTGACCAAAAACACGCCTGTCCTCAATCAGGTCCTCTCTCTATCTGCTTCACCCCCCATTCCTGACTCTATTGACCGTCTCTGAAGACTCTGACGGGTTTAGATGTGAAGTACAGCAGAAACACACACACACACACACACACAGACGTCAGTGTGACACGGTGCTTTCAGGAACACACTCAACATGAAGATGGTTATGAATGTGAAGTCGATATTATTTGTGACAGTGCTTTTGTAGGTGTTTTTGGATGCTGCGGTGAATGTGAGCGACGCGGTGGTTTCCTGTTTTATGAACTGTTTTTATACGCAGAAACACCTCAGCTTTATATTAAACATCAGATTCAGAATTCAGAAGTCGTGTTGATGCTTTTCAGTCTTTAGACAATGGAAAAAGATGTGCAGAGCTTATAATTGACAGGGGAAAGAGAGATTTTGTTGTATGTTTTTTTAAGTTTTTCTTTTCTTAAAGGGACAGTTCACCCAAAAATTACAATTCTGTCATTATTTAATTATTGTGTTTCAGGAAAAACTTCTTTCTTTTGTTGAACACAAAGGAAGATATTCTGAAGAATGTTGAAGAAAAAACAGAGATTGACTTCTGTGATATTTCTTTGTTCCTACTAAAAAGCGATAAATTGAGGAAACCTGTTGCCTTAAAGTTAATTAACTATGCGCATAATTATCCAAATTAAGTTGTGCATTTAGTTCAGGTGTACTCTCTTTAATTAATTATAGTAACCAACTGCATTTTGCAGTGTGCTTTTTGTCCAACATACTCAGCTTGTTTAGATGACAACAGAAATGTCTTTTTTGGGGGGTGAACTGTCCCTTTAAGAGCGTATATTAACTGTTTGTTGTGTTTAAAGGAACAGTTCACTCAAAAATGAAAAAAAAAAAAAACTATTTACTCAAGTGGTTTCAAACATTTATGAGTTTCTTTCTTCTGTTAAACACTACAGACGATATTTTGAAGAATGCTGAAAACCTGTAACCATTGACTTCCATTGTAGGATCCACAGATACTATAGAAATTAATGGCTGTACTGTACAAAGCAATTAGTTGACTAAACCTGTTGTCTTATTATTAAATAAGTGAACTATGCTCATAATTATCAAAATTAAGTTGTGCATTTAGTTCAGCTATTCTCTCTTTATTTAAGTAACTCACTGCATTTTGCAGTGTGCTTTTCTTCCAACATACTCATCTTGTTTTGTAGATGACAACAGAAATGTGTTTTATTGGGTGAACTGCCCCAATAAAAATGAAAACATACTATTTAGTATTTACTCTTCCTCAAGTGGTTTCAATCCTTCTGTTGAACACAAAAGAAGATATCTTGAAGAATGCTGGAAACCTGTAACCATTGACTTGCATAGTAGGAAAAACTTCTATGGAAGTCAATGGCTGTATTGAGAAAAAAGCAAGTAGTTGAGTTTACTCTAAATAGTGAGAATCTGTTACCGTAAAATTATTAAATAAATGAACTCTGCTCTCTACGTCCATTAATTATTGTAGTTGTTTTTGGGTGAACTGTCCCTTTAAGAACATATATTAACTGTTTGTTGTGTTTAAAGTAATAGTTCACTCAAAAATAAAGATTTTTTCGCTATTTACTACTCATTACTGCCCTTTATGAGTTGCTTTCTTCTGTTAAAAACAAAATAAGATATTTTGAAGAATGATACAAACCTGTAACCATTGACCCATAGTAGGAACATAAATACTATTGAAATCAATGGCTGTTTTTCCAGCATTCTTCAGATTATCCTCCTTTGTGTTTAACAGAAGAAAGTCAAAGGTTTGGAACAAGTGGAGGATGAGGAAATATTTGTGTAAACTACCCCTAAAATAGAAAATAGACCATCATTCCTACTACAGTACAGTCAAATATTTGCATATGTTAGGACCAATTAACTTTGTGTGTGTGTGTGTGTGGTGAATTGAATGGATCTGGAGGTGTTTTCTGCAGTATCTGTGTGTTGTTTGGGCTGAAATGTTGAGCTTCTGGATCTCCTAAAGCTTGATCTCTGCTGGCCAGTGTTTCTACTTCACTCCTGCCCTTTTTTAATAGGACGGCCTTTTTTATACTCGTTTTTGATATGAACTGTGAACCGATCCTGTTCATTCTGTCCTGAAAACACGAGCAGTTTCTCTCTGAAGGAAGCGCTGCCTTTTCTCCAGACTGCTCCAGTGCCAAAATGATTCCTCTCCCCCTTTTTTAAGCATTTTAAATCTTTCTTAATGCACATATATAAATATATATTGAAACACACACAATATGGATTATATGTTGGCGTATGTTTGACTGTGTGACTATGTTTGGAATAAATCCATATCTATACTACAGTAGATGTGAGGTGTTTGTCTTCATTTACTCTGATTTTAGGATGAAACAACAATGAAAGCTTCAGAATGAATGATTTAATTTTAGTGCAAATGAATAACACCTCATCTCAATGGAAACAAAATTTTATATATATATATATATATATATATATATATATATATATATATATATATGTATATATATATATATGTATATGTATGTTTTTAACTATTAAATCATTTGTAACTGACAATTTGTTATAAAGCAGCAACATTTCTGAATGGTAAGTTTCACAAGTGTGGTGGTAAACATTGATTCTGAACCCTGGGCCTGTACTGTACCATGATGCTGGCTAAATATATTCAGGATTACAGGATTAGTTTTGAGTTGACAAAACCAAATCAGTGCGGTCAGGCTTTATTGGTATCACGAAGAAGCTGACCATCAACTTTGTTTACTCAGGGTTTAAATCATGAACACAGGACATCAGGAGCAAACAGCCAATCACATGCCTCAAAACTTAAAAATACTGTAAACGACTTCTTGAGGGTCAGTGCAATTCATTTTTTTTTCCGGCTTAGTCCTTTTATTAATCCGGGGTCACCACAGGGGAATAACCGCCAACTTATATAGCATGTTTTTTACGCAGCGGATGCCCTTCCAGCCCCACCCATCTCTGGGAAACATCCACACACACTGATCCACTATGGACAATTTAGCCTTCTCAATTCACCTGTACCACATGTTTTTGGACTGGGGGAAACCAGAGCACCTAAGGTGAACCCACGCGAACACATGGAAAACATGGAAACGCCAACTGACACAGCCAAGGCTCGAACCAGCGAGCATCTTGCTATGTGGCGACAGCGCTACCTACTGCGCCACCCAGTGCAATTCAGTAAAAGATTAAAAGATTGACACCATAATTATCACCATAATCATATTTAAATTTGTCCACTTTGGTCTAAGGATGGCTGATGCGAAACTGATGTTGACAATGTTAAGATCACGAAGCCCAAACACTGCACCAAAGCATAATCCAAAACACCCAAGTTATGCAAATCAGGAACTTTCACCGCTCCACTAAATCACTTGAAAACTAAACCTGACAACGTTTAATATCTTAATTTACATCACTGTTTCTTTGCTAAAGCTATCCGAGAAATACAGAAAATGATCACTAGGTGTCACTATAGAGAGAGGTTTCAAAACATTAAGAAGCTTCAACACATTTGCTTCGACTGTTTCAGTGTTTCACAAACCCTCACTCTGCCCACCACTACTTTGGACAGTGTTTTCAAAAAAATGTTTTCATTTCCTTAAAACACTGTCTCATTGTGGATGAAAGATCAAAACAGAGAAAAAGATGCAATTTAAAACAAAAATATTAGAGTGGACATGGCCCAAAGTGGACAAATTTGAAATAGTCATTTTCATGTTGCAGTGTGGGCTTTGAAGACAGAGGCTTTCGAAAACAATTATGGATTTTAGTCATGTGACGCAGTATTAAAGATTATTGTCCGTTTGTACATGCTCCATATTGCCTCTCTTCAAAGGACAGGGAATGTTTAGTGTAAGCTGCTGTTCAGCAGAGGAAGCAGACCACAGTTGTGACATGTTTTTGCTGCAACATTTCAAAAAGACAAAGTAAATAAACACCAGGCGGATGTGATGGAGGTAAAACAGTACATGAATAAAAGCATTTCAATCATTTTTGTATGGATGACAAAAAAAAAAATCGGAAACGAGTGTGGACATGGAGTGTTTTTAGATGAAAATGACATTTTCAAATTTATCGGGATTAGTATAGACATCCGGAATGCAACCCTGGAATATAAACTTACCTGGAGCAGGTTAGTCGTTACCACAAGTAACAAAGTGATTAAAGTCAAGCTGCCTTCATGGTACCTAAAACCCAGGATAGGTGCAAACTAAACTAAACTTAAACTTAACTGTTGAGAGCTAATCTGGCTTCATGGTACAGACCCAGATATACAAGTTAATCATCTTTCCTGTCTTCTCGACACACAAATTTCAGTCCATGGTCACCATTGGTATCATAACTTTCATGTGTGGGCTTGTTGAGCCAGTCGGGTTCAAAATTTATTTTGCTGTAGACAGAAGCCTCCTCAATTCTTCCAGATTCTCCATTCCCCTTTAGGATCTCCAGCTGGATGGAAGTGCGCTGGTACCAGTCTGGACATTTCTCAAACCAGTCCAGGAACTCCAGCATCTTCTGGTCAACGCTGTAGATCTCACCAGAGACCTGCTTTCCAGAGCCGGGCACATTCAGCAGAAAAGGAATGTTGTGTTTGGTGGCAATAACCAGCGGGTATGGCTCTTTGGTCTGGGCGCAGGTGATGAACTCAGCTTGACCATTGTTAGAGTTCAAGAGTTCGTGGTGGTTTGGCTGGCCTTTCTTTAGTGAGCCGTACACAAATACATGATGGGTGCTCATGCTGACTGTAGTATTCATTGTACTGTTCATGACTAAGACCTGTGGATCAGAGAGACATTTTATGAGGACAAAATCAATTCACAAAAATAAAAAAATCACCAATACATCTCTGCGGGATTAATGTATATATTCTCTGACTGAATTTTATTTAGGGGTCTATGGAGAAACCACACACACACACATATATACACACATATGTGACTTTATATGACTATGTTATCTAAAATTTTGCTTTAAATGTAAATAAAAGCTCTAACACAGTAGTCCGATGAGGTATAAACATCTACCTGAAAGGGAGCGATACATGTTTACACGGTTAAACTATTTTGGGCCATACTAAATACGATGTTCATCTATAATACGTTAATTGATTCTCAAATATAATGTACGTTATACACAAATCTGAGTTCCTTTTCAGTGTTCTATTACATAATAAAGAAGTAATGAAAATGTGAATAGTTTAAGACACTTTTAAACAGTAGCTTCTGTGTGGTAACGTTAGTGTTGGAAACACGGGGCCTTTATTTTTTATATATAAACATTTAGACTCAGAATTTATATTTACAACTGCAGATGATCGTTCCAGAAATTCAGAAGCATTGAGTAACGTTATTACATCCGTATTTACAACATTTCTAGATGCTCGATGAATAAGTGCTGATAAATTCATCTCATGGAAACACGCCGAGCCTTCCTTTCCAATCCATTCATATCCATCTAAACCAGAACATATGAATTGGACATTTCTTACCGATAATATTGAAAAAAATCCTTTCTTTCGTGAAGGTCTCACGGAATGTTTGATCAACAACTTCATTCAGCAGCACTTCCGCCTTTCATTTTGGAAAATAAGGAAATGACGTGTATCAGGACCACATCAGAACAAAGACATAAAGATACTTTTAAATAAAGTTTCAGGTAGATTAAAATGGAATCAAATTAAATCAGCTTCTGTTCAATGATAAAGCTTTAACTTCGTAAACAATTATATAAAACAGTAACTGTCTTAATGAACGCAGAATTAAATGTGTGCACTGCAACAGCAGTAATAGCGGCATCTGGCGGCCACTCTCGGCATTTGCACTCAACACACACATTTAATGCATGTGCGTGTGATCTGTTGGTTGTGTATATGTGGAAACTCTTTTGAGTATCTCGAGTGAGTTTGAGCAGATGTGGAGCTTCATTGACAGCTGTCTGATCGTCCTGTAGAAACACCAGCCAGAATCAAACACTCATTTAACCAGCATTTCACATCAGCCAACATTTACCTCCTGCTGAGGGACACACAAAACACATCACATGGCCTGAACTCAAATCATAATGTATAAACCTATTCAAATACTCAATAAAAGAGTGGACACCTTCAGAAATCTGTGAAATTATTTTTTTTAACTATTACAAATTAAAATATGTAAGATTTGTAATAATTATGATGATCATAATAAGACAACATGTGAGTTGTGTTGATTGTATTAAAGGAAGGCAGATCAGTTGCACTTCTGTGATCTCATGCTCAAGAACAATTGTTTGAAATAAAGCCATTTCTATAATATGCTGCTCTTGTTTTAATTTACTCTGATTTAATGATGCAAAACAATGAAAAGCTGTTCAGATTGAATGATTTTATTGTAAAGTGCAAACTAATAAACTCATAAAACACAATGTACAATATCTAGATTCAATCATTTTTTTACATAATCATGTATGTATGTGTATAATGAATCATAAATAGATTTTTTATGATTACTTTTTCCAGATTACTTGGTACTTCAAACTAAAGTTTCATATAAACTCAGTAAATCACATTTACTTTTCATGGTACTCAACTAAATATGACAACTAAAACAAATCCATGTCCAAAACCACATTTAGTCCCAATAAGTCATTATTATTAATATAAAAAACAGCCTAATGTGTAACTAAATCACCATTCAGACATCTGATGTTTGACAAACATCGTTTAACATGGTTTTAATTCACAAATCAAATCCTTTAGTCATAAATCGAGATTTAATCTCTGCTAAAACTACAATATTCCTCACATGAACCCACTCAATTCAGCTATTCTGAAACCAAAAACTCAGGCAGTCCACACAAACATGGGTATTTTCAAAACAGCACTTTTTTTTAACCGGTTTCACTGTTTGTCCATAGTATCGGGTGACTGAACATGAATACTTCTGAAAACTTCGGCCAAGTTAAAGGTTTATCTGAAACTCCGGGTACAGTGTGGTCATGTGGAGGTTTTGCCTCATGACATCAGCATGCACACTTCTCTGATTGGCTGACACAGCTGAGTTCACACCAAATGCAAAATGTGCAAATCAATGAAGATGTGATCAATCACATCCCACGCTCTTCCGGAAATTAGTTTGTGAAACTTGTTGGTTCGGCATGCCCTTAACATGCGTTGCAGTGTGTTTTTATGTGGACAGAGATTTCCTTAAAAATAAAAGCAGGAGCATTCTGCTTATAAAAATACCTGTGTACGTGAACATGGCTTTAGTTTCCCATTTTGTGCTGAGTTCATACTGCATGATTTTCACAGTATTTGGATCGCCGTTGTTTTGACAATGCATCACTCTCTGAGGTAGCGTTCAGTTGCTGCTGTGTTTATACTGTATGAATGATCAGTGACATTAGAACAAACATTGCAGGACTACACTCAAAACAGTGGCTGACTACTTGTAAACACACAAGAAGTGATAAGAAATTAACACAAAACTATGTGCGAGACTAGAAATAATACAAAAAGAGTTCAATCAGAACTCATTCACAAGCAGGACTTTGAAAAGCTGACATATCTAGATAGTTAGCATGTTGAATATTTCACAGACGATGGTGACACGCTAGCGATCCTCTCAGTTTGCATCTTTCCTACTGTGTGACTGACTTTAGCTTGAATGAGCACTGACTGACTTCCGATTTCGGGCATTTGTCTGCAATTTCACAAAAACTGTCGGCGAGTGAAAATCGTGCAGTGTGAACTTGGCATTAGAGTAGGTCAACTAAAGTTCTAGTTTTCATTTAATTAAATTGAATTTGTCTTATTGAAGTGGGCCTCTGAAGTTTACATCATGATCATCTCCAGTACTCGTCAGAATCTGCAGACTGTTGTTTTTTTTAATTTCTTGCTCAGAATTTTGTGAAAAATCTGCAGATTTCTGATCTAATGTAGACCTTGTCATGTCTTCTTCATATGCATATTTCAGTCCATGATCACCGTTGCTATCATAACTGTCATATGTGGGCTTGTTGAGCCAGTCGGGTTCATATTTAGTTTTGGTGTAAACAAAAGCCTCCTCAACTTCAGTTTCACCATTCCCCTTCAGGATCTCCAGCTGGATGAGGGTGCGCTGGTACCAGTCTGGACATTCCTCAAACCAGTCCAGAAACTCCAGCATCTTCTGGTCAACGCTGTAGATCTCACCGTAGACCCGCTGTCCAGAGCCAGGCACATTCAGCAGGAAGGGGATGTTGCATTCGCCAGTGATCACCAGTGGGTATGGCTCTACGGTTCGGGCACAAGTGATGAACTCAGCTTGCCCATTGCTAGAGTCAATCAATCTAAAATAATTCGGCTGGCCTTTCTTTAGTGTCCCGTACACAAACACAAGAGGCATGCGGACAGCAGGGATGATGAAGATGATGAAGAGCTAGGAGTCAGAATTTACTCACTTTTAAAATTTGCAAATTACCTAAACCATGAGGGGTCTGTAAAGAGAAATAAAATAAGATTTAAAAATATAAAATAAAACCCCAAAAAAATACAAATAAAATAAAAAGAGTTTGTAAAGAGATATAAATTCAAATCAAAATTTAACCAAGGTTAATAAAAATTACACTAAAATGATTGAAAGAATAAAATAATTTCTGTGCTTCCATACATTTTATGACGGGTACACATTGAAAAAAAAATACTAATCACCTAGTAATGTTTATGTTAATGTTTTAGTAATAATAACAACAATAACATGTCAGCAGACATTAATACATTTATGACATTTGGCTAATTATGTATAAATTTATATATTTTACATATTATGACCTTACGTGGGTAGCTAATACTGTCTGGCAAAAGTACCCAAAATACTCGGTCGAGCAAACACTTATCTTTACCTGAAACAGTGGGACGAATATTTAACGTTTACACACGTTGTGTTTACACAAAACTATTACACGTCACAGACATGACGACTCCTTGGTAAATGACACAGTTAATAATAGCATTCAAGTGTAAATACTTTTTTAAAACGCAAACATTACGTGTTGTTTGAAGCACAAAGACTTATATTCCATTCAGAATTGGATTTTGCGCAGTAGCCGAACTTAATCAACATTACAGCAGTTCAGTCTGTGTGATAAAATTAGATGCGCGATGACGAGTAGTGATATAGACTGTATATCATTATAACGTTAGCTAACTTAAAGACGCCGAACTTTTTTTCTAGCCCAGCCCATTCACAACTAAACCAGAAGGGTCAACATGAAGGCAAGTACGTTTCTTACCGAACATTTAGGAAATCCTTTTATATTTAAAAGTCACACTGAAAGTTTGATCTTCATCGGACAAACATGACGAACTAAACTTCGTTCGGCAGTTACTTAAGCAGTTCCGGCTTTCACGTTTACAAATAAGGAAATGACGTCAGAAACAAGGATGACACGTCTGTAAAATCATGGAATGTTAGTCAATGATTGTATCCTAAGTTATTATTTATGTTTATTTGTATAGAAATATTTGTAAGACTAGTTTATTTATTTATTATTAATATTTTTTTCTCTCTACTGTTATGTTTTTGCTTCATTATCATTTTTGGTTGTTGCTGTTGTAACTATAGCAATGTTTTTGGATGAAGTATATATACGAATTGTTGTATTATTACTTAATGTAGTGTTTCAAATATATAATAATAAAAATAATCATTGGATGTAGAAATGCTGTACACTATACTTTGTGTAATTTAATTTATTTTAATTTATTTATCTTTGCTTTTTTTTTTTGGTTGATTTTTACCATTGTTGTATTAGCTTTTCTTGTGTTTCATAATTTGTATCGTGTTGCATGTTTGTTCCTGACGGTTATGCAATAAAAAAGAAATAGCTTGTGCAAATGTGACTTAAGAGTTTCTCTACAAACACCAGCCAAAGCACATCATAATAACTAATTAACTAACTGCTGGATATAAATAAATAAATCTTAAATTCAGTTAAATATAATGTATACATTTGCGTGAAAAATATTTGTCATAAGCAGCAGCTAAAATGATTTAAGTACTAAAATTCAACTAAAATAAAATATAGAAAAAGAAAAGTGAAACTAAAAACACTAAAACAAAGTAAAAGAAAAAGCAAAGACAAAACAATAAAACAATAAAAACAACAAAATTACCATTTAATTTTGTAAAATGTAATGTACATATGGTGAAATCAAGATGTACACCTTATAAAACACAATTTAAAAGGTATATGAGTTAAAAAAGCAAAACAAAAACAAATAAAAATGTAAACAAAAAAAAAATAATCATAAAGTGGGTCAAAAAAATCTTCAGATTTTGTTATTTGTTCATAAAACAATCAGCACTGTGCTTCAGAAGAAATTATTTTAATGTAAAGTGCAATTCAATTTACTCATGAAAGTATAAAGTATATTGTATACAGTAGTACACAGTATTGTACAGTTATTCACAGAAAGATAATTCCTGATCGCTACATATAAAGTACTCCAGTGTTTTTCCCCTAATAAAGCACAACATATTTCAATCAAATAATTTTTACACAATTTATATTATATATATATATATATATATATATATATATATATATATATATATATATATATATATATATATACACACACATTTTTGTGCAAATCATACATTATAAAAATAGATCTTAAAGATTGTGTCCAGTTTAATAATCTAAAGCGTTCCTGCATCTGGTAAATTGTAATAAAGTGCCATATAACACACAGTAATTCACCCTATTTGTTTTGCATGCCGTTAAATTATACCACCCAACACCAAATAAAGAATCCGGCTACAAAATGAACAATTAAGTAACAACAAATCATTATTATCAGTCATTATTATTATCACATTTTATAACATGCTTTGACTTCAAACTTAGGTAAGTTTTTATGGAAATTACTTGCCTTAAAGGGACTTTAAAGGGATTTACTACAGATCATGGAACTGTGCTTCACTGACAAGATGTGTATGAATATCCCAACATTGCTTAACAGTGTTTGTGATTTTATTTCAATTAACGGACCCTTTTCACAAGTCTGTTATGTTGCATTTACGAATCTTAAATCCTTAAATGTTTTTAATATTTTGATTTTTAAAACATAACCAAATATAACCATGTACATGCATTTATGTGTGTATTATATCATATTTGCATCAAATTACAAAAATAAATAAATTACCGTTTTTGCAAGACGTTTAAAATTCAGTGTCTATTGGAGGACAGGACAGTAAATTGAATTCTTCTTAATCATTAAATATTCTTTTAATTATTAATAATTCTCTCTTCTGGCTGCTGTTATCAGTCTCACACTACTGTTTTCCTTCCTATGAAAGTCTTGATAACACCATTGTGTAGTTTTTCTTTTATTATTTCAACAAATAAGATTGTAAATAATGATTTGTTGTACTTCCTCATTCACTGTGCTCTAAGTTTACCCAAATATGATGGCTGCTGAGAAACCTGATATTGTGAAAAAGATCCATCGCCCAAGCTCTACCAGAAGTTATTATTCTCTTATTCTCGAGGCACACAATTGTTTCCAGGATCACCGGTGGCATCATAAACACTGAATGTGGGTTTGTTGAGCCAGTCAGGATCAAATGTAGAGGTGCTGTAGACAAAAGCCTCCTCAGAATCTCCATTCCCCTTCAGGATCTTCAGCTGGATGGAGGTGCGCTGGTAGAGATCTGGACATTCCTCAAACTCATCCAGGAAATCCAGCATATTCTGGTCAACGTTGTAGATCTCACCGTAGACCTGCTGTCCAGAGCCAGGCACATTCAGCAGGAAGGGGAATTTGTCTTTGGTGGCGATCACCATAGGGTATGGATCTTTGGTCCGGGCACAGGTGATGAACTCAGCTTGACCGTGTGTAGTGTTTGTCAGTTCATGATAGTTTGACTGGCCTTTCTTTAGTGTGCCGTACACAAACACGTTAATGCACAATGCAGGGAGCACAATATTTGAGAAAACCTGTGGGTCAGAGAAACGTAATCAATTTTCAGTGTAAAAACTGGAAAAACAATCATGATTAATCCATTTGTGTGGTAATAAAGGGTATGCCCCTTTTTACAAGATGTAAAATGTGTCTGTGATGTCCCTTGAGTGAAGTTTCAGCTCAAAATACCACACAAATAATGTTTTCTAACTCTCTGAAATAGACTCTTTTAGGCTTTGATCCTAATTGTGGCAATTTGGTGACTGTCACTTTAAATTTAAATGAAATTGCACTCTCTTTTGAGAAGAGGGCAGAGCTACAGATGCCTATGTGTCAGCATAGTGGCAGATTCAAAAGCAAGACTTACATTATCTGTGTGGAAAAACTGAAAATGTGAAAACAAGAGTCTCAGAATGCGTCAGTCTATGGAAACCCCTGCCGCTGTTCATTTGTGCTTCATCTAAAACTCCCCAATTATGATCCTCTTAGTTGCTGACATTATCTTCAGCAGCTCAAACACTCTACTAAACAGATAGCTGCTTCTCACTCAGGGCTGTCTATGATAATGAGGGAGCAATGGTCACTAGTGTTTCTGCAGACTAGTGTGATCAGCAACAGCAGCAAAGATCCTTTGTCCTACTGAATATTCTCCTTTTTCAGCTGCTTCTTTCTTGATTTTTATTTTTATTAAAATTACAGGTTCCAAGTTGTTTGTTAAAACCAATGTTTTTTGCAGTAATATTTTTGTATGAATGCAAAAAAAGACATTCGTCTCCTCAATTTTTGCTCATCTGAAAAATGATCCGATTCGTGACTCAAAAACCATAGTGTAGTCCGAAGCGTGAAATTTGTGATCCATTACACCACTAACACAACTGTTTAAACTACCCTTATAATTGTGATTTTTGCTTTATAGCTCACCTTTTATTGTACTGTATTGTATGAATGAATTAAGTTAAAACTAAAATAAATAGAATACAATTATTTAAGTGATTTGTGGACAAAAAGCCTAAAATTTAATAAAAATAAATAAGGGAAAAATACATGTGTACATAAAGGGTTTGGTAAGAAACATCCAAACAATATATATATATATATATATATATATATATATATATATATATATATATATATATATATATATATATAAAATACTTACAAATAAGGAAAGTTTCTTAAATGATATAAAATAAACATATTAAATAAAATGGATTAAACATTTCAACACTGTCATGTGTAAAACACAAAAACAACCTAAACTTTCTGGAAGAACATTAAGCTATAAAAAAACAAATACTGTGTGTGGACAAGTGCATTCACAACTAGTCTAAACGGGATGTACCTGATATTTCAAATAAAGTAGTTTAATTCATTAGAGAATATGCTGTACACAAATATATACACGTTATACACTAATATGAGAGTTTTATTTCAGTTATTAATCACAATCCAGGTATGTAAATATAGGTATGTGTTGAGACGCCATCAAACAGTCGCTTGTATGTAGTAAAGTTTTTAAAGCACAGCCATTTTTAATATTCAAACTCGAGCTTTCGTTGGTTTAAACAAGATTTATATATGAATATTATCACATTAACATCAGTCTGTCTAGTTAGACTGTACCAAAGTCCCTTACGTAACCTCGCGAAAAACACCTACTTTTATTATATAAACCAGAAGTTAAGTAAGCATTCTTACCAGCAGCAATATATGGATTGCAATCATTTTCAGAGGTCAGACTGAAAGTTTTATCAACGTCGGACGAACAGAGCTGCTTTAAAGTCCCTTGACAGATCAAACTGAGTAAACACTTCCGGATATCTAAAGGAATGACGTCAGACGAGGATGATATTTACAGGTACTTAAAATTTGTACTTCAGGCAACAGTTAAAATACACTCAGCATGAATACAATTTCTGCAAATGAATCTTGTATAAATAAATAATTATTAAACGTGTTTATGGGTGATAGCGACATCTGGCTGTCATAAATACAGTGATTACGTCAGACAACTTTGATCGACGGTAGCCTACAGTATGTAAACAAAATAGTTCAGACAAATGATAGTCATATAATATTTATACAACTATTGATATTATATAGACAATCAATGTTAGCCTGTAGGTTCTGCTGTAAATCAGATTCATCAAAGCTAACTTCAGTGTTTTCAGACTCTGCAGCACTTTCACTTTCACTTTTAGCCCTTAATACGAAAAACTTTGGCTCTGATGTTTTACACTCACTTTTATTTTAATTTAATCACTTACATAATTACTTATATTCTATTACTATGTATTATTATCATTGCACGTTTTAATGTTATTTATAATAATATTAACACTTTTACTTTTAGCCCAAATCATGAAAAGTTTTGTGTATGTTTTTGTTTACTTTATTTTAATAACATAATCACATAGGACATTTTTTTTCTGTCACTATGCAATATTAGCATTACCTTTTTATGTTATTCAATAATATTAAATAGCATAGCAGTAGTACACTGTAAAAAAAATGCAGGTTTCCACACAATACATTCATTTTGTCCCAACGCAAACTGTTTAAGTTAACATAACACATTTAAGTACATTAAACTTAACAAAATCAAGTTGTCCCAAAAAATATCAAGAATTGAGTTGGCCTCTTTGTCGGTGACAAGTAATTCTAATCTAATAAAGCACCTCACGTCTTGTGAGTTGTGAAAGGTGCAATAAATATTTAAAGATCTAAACCATCTGTGGTGTTTTATTGAGCAACTAATTTCATTCATTTTCTTTTCGGCTTTGTCCTTTTAATAATCTAGGGTCGCCACAGCGGAATGAACCGCCAACTTATCTAGCATATGTTTTACACAGCAGGTGCCCCTCCAGCCACAACTCATCATTGGGAAACATAATAATAATAATGTACATCATAATATGTTGAGTTTGATGGTTGTCTCTCACATTGTCCCACAACAACATTAAAATAGTGTAGATTAGTGTACAGGGTTTTATATTTATTTTATAGTCATGTAACATTAGATGTTTTTTAAAGTAACACAATTGCTGGTTTTATATTCACACATTCGTTCATTTAGAAGTCTCTATATTATTTACCATGTTACTTTGAATATTCGATAGGAATTGGCATGCAAATATGACTTGAAAACAACATTAAGACTGTTTACTTGTCTGTGAACAATGTTGTACTTTGATAGTCATTGGCTGCTAATATGATTTCACTGTTTGGAGTTTCAAATAATACTTTTTTTATTAAGGGGAAAGTCTGAATGTGCGAATATAAAACCAACTTTACCTCTATCAATTGTTATATTCCCTGGTATAACTTGTAATTATGTAACTTAGTTCCTATTTGTGAAAAGTAACTAGTAACTAATTACTCTTTAAAAAAAACATGCCCAACACTGCTGGTAGGCAAGAAAATAGTGCATTAAAAATGTTTGTTGTTTGCTCAAACTACTTATACTGTATACAATGAGCTGAAACAACACAATGCTAGAGTTTTTTTTGGGACAACTCAATTGTTTCATGTTCATTCCACTTAAAACTTATAACATAACTTAATTCCTTTATGTTGTCCCAACACAAATCAATAGTGTGGAACCCAGCATTTCTTCTTAAAGTGTTTGAATCAAATGTAATAAAGCACAGCAACCACACAGCAATCCTAGCAACAGCACTAATATCATTCCTAACATTAAAACAGCCCCTAAATAAATAAAACAAAACATCATCTGAGGCCTCGTTTCGTCTGATATTTCCCTGGGCAGGAGGTAAACAGTGGTATCTGATGTAAACCGCTCAGACACCAGAGCTGGTGACACTTTTATGAGCATCTCGGGTGAGTTTGAGCAGATGTGGAGCTTCACTGACAGCTGTCTGATCGTCCTGCAGAAACACCAGCCAGAATCAAACACTCATTTAACCAGCATTTCACATCAGCCAACAACATTTACCTCCTGTTGAGGGACACACACTTTAAAATCACTTTGCTTAAACTCAGATCCTCATATTTCCCTACAAATAGTCAGTGAAAAGAGGAAAAATAGTAATCACGAGTGTTACTGACACCTAGAATAACAATTTAAATATGTAAAAATGTGTAATAATAAATTAAATACAGGTCAGATGTCATCATTAGTAAAGCATTTTGTGTGTTTTGCAATGTTGTTGTGTTTGCAGGGTGAAACTCAAACTCAGATCATCACATTTCTACACAACTAATCAGTGAAAAGAGGAAAATCTGAAATCAGCAGTGCTATTTTTGACACCTAAAACAATTAAAAGAGAAAAACAGTCATGCAAATGTAAATACAGATCAGATGTTATCATTATTAAGCAGTATATTGTGTATTTTGCATTCTTGTTGTGTTTGCATGATGACACCATTTACCTCCTGTTGAGGGAAACACACTAAAATCACTTTGCTTAAACTCCGGTCATCATATTTCCCTGCAAATAATCAGCAAAAAGAGGAAACTCAGTGTTATTATTGACACTTAAAGCAACAATTTAAACAGCACATGAAAACTGTTATAACAGATTATATACAGATCAGATGTTACCATTATTAAACCATATTGTGTGAGTTTGTATGGTGAATCTAATAAAAAACCTAAATTAAATTTAGTCAATGTAATAAAACATCAATAAAACATATTTGTGGTGTCTATACAAGTATATAGGGGACAATATGTTTTATTTTTTAATTTTTTTTAAATTTAATTTAATTTTTTATTTTTTTAAATTTCTAATAAAATTAAAATTTTTAATATATTTAAAATATAATCTGATAATATATATTTAAAATATAATCTGATAATAATGTAAAAGTAATAAAATAAATGACACAAAAATCATAATTTTAAAATGTTAAAAGTTAAAAGTAATAAAATATAAATATAATAAAATATAAATAATATAAAATGTATGACTTTTTTAGTGACAGATGGTAAAATTAAATTCTGAATATATATATATATATATATATATATATATATATATATATATATATATATATATATATATACACATATCACACAGAAATCCTAACAACAGCAATGCACTAATATCATTCCTAACATTAAAACAACCACAAAATAAATATATATATATACACACACATATACATATATATACATACACACACACACACACACACACACACACACACACACACACACACACACACACACACACACATACACACACTGAGGATTGACCAGATGTATCTTTTTATCCATATTTTTAATTTAGTAGTATTTGATGAAGCAATTATGCACTAACCGGCCACTTTATTAGGTACACCTTACTACTACCAGGATGGACCATCTTTTGTCTTCAGAACTGCCTTAATCCTTGGTGGCACAGATTCAACAAGCTACTGAAATATTCGTCAGAGATTTTGCTCCATATTTACATGATAGCATCACACACGTGCAGCAGATTTGTCGGCTGAAATGGAGACTCATCAGAGCAGGCAACGTTTCTCCAATCTACTATTGTCCAGTTTTGGTGAGTCTGTGTGAATTGTAGCCTCAGTTTCCGGTTCTTAGCTCACAGGAGTGGCAACCACTGCAGCAGATCGTCTTGACCATGTCTACAGGCCTAAATGCATTGAGCTGCTGCCATGTGATTGGCTGATTAGAGATTAGCTTTAAGAAAGCAGTTGCACAGGTGTACCTAATAAAGTGGCCAGTGTATGTACTGTACACAAGTCATTATAAATTGAATTACCTCTTAAAAGAAACAATTCTTCCCAGAAGATATGTATTTTGATCATTAAAACATTAAAATATGCAGTTTAATTTACATATTGCATTGTTTAGAAATGCGTGTAGAACAAAACAGAACACACGATTGTCTTGAATGATTAATACTGATTAAAGCAACAGCATCCAAATAATAGCAATGAGATTATTATATTTCACAGTATAAACAATGTGCAAATAAAATTCACGAATGAGTATATTTTACAGTACAATATAAATAGTAAAGATGGATCATTAGTATCAGCTCAGGACACACACGCACACACGCACACACACACACACACACACACACACACACACACACACACACACACACACACACACACACACACACACACACACACACACACACACACACACACACACACACACACACACACACACTGTAGATGTAATTTGTTTTCTTACACTGTGTGTTGTTGCTCCGCCTTGTTGTGAATTTCTATGAATATCTAAGCAGCTCCTGCTCGAACAGCGCATAAATTAACAACAATCTGCAGTTACCCGAATACACACTAGATGGCGCTGCAAAACCTGTCAAAACACGATGGAAACAGACCTGAAAATCTGAGCGACAGTAAACCCAAAGATGAAGAGAAATGCTCATTATTTACTTTTCCTCAAGTGCTTTCAATACTCTACGAGTTTCTTTCTTCTGTTGAACACAATCTAACATATTTTGAAGAATGCTGAAAACCTGTAACCATTGACTTCCATAGTAGAAAAAGGGAATAGCTTCCAACATTCTTCAAAATATCTTCTTTTGTGAATAAAGAAACTCATAAAGGTTTTAAACAAAATAGTTTGAAGAAAGTTAAAAACCTGTAACAATTGACTTCCATTGGAAAAACAAATACAAATAAAAGTCAATGGTTACAGGTTTTAAGCATTTTCAAAGTATCTTCTTTTGTGTTTAGCATAAGATATAAACTCAAAGGTTTTAAACAAGATATTTTGAATTAAGCTAAAAACCTGTAACCATTGACTAACATAGTAGGAAAATCAAATACTA